CGGGCCACAATTGACTTGTAGGTTCTGTTTTGCATCACAGGCTCAGATTTTTCAGGTCTGCAGAAATGCTCCATTCGCTTTCATCAAAGAAACCCTCTGTCTTCTCAGAAACAGCAGATAGAAACCTAGATGCTTCAAATTACTTTCATCCTTAATTTGTTAAGTTTTTAAAAATCCAGTCAGAACACCCTGAAATTGAATTGCTCCCTGTCAATTCTGTTCACCCAGGCTCTGTGCAGATGGCCAGTGAGCCGTCCTTGGGCACTCCACATGGCAGAGCACATGCCCCCAGTTTCCCCCTATGTGTCTGAAGAGAAGCAGACACACTCAGAGCCTGGTACCCTGCACTGTCGCTTCTGAATGACAGGAGAGGTGGAACACTGGGGCTCCTGCATGTTCGGTGGGACTAGAACATGAAGGGACCCAGACGCCAGAGCCGGTTTTGCGCCTTCTCTCTGCTAACCACGATGGACTGTGAACTTACCACGCACCACGCATGGTGTTTCGGTTCACGGTTAAGCAGTGGGTCCTCCAGAGCTGCCTCTACACGGGCGGATGATAAATAGATGAATCAGGCATTGGTTCTATTTCACATTCCTGAAACCAAGCCTCTGCACTACAAGGGCATTTGGATTTGCAGAATCCCTTCTTTCATTTGTCAGCTATTGCTGAGAGCCAGGTTTGTGCCAAGTCAGCGTGCTGGGCACCAAGAACAGACAGAGAGCCTGCCCTCAAACTGCGCTCTGGCTGGGACAGATGCGACATGTGTAGTGACGACTCCCGTTCAAGAAGGCAATGGGCAGAGGCAGTTCCTTCCTTCTAGGAGCTGCTGGCCACACTCAGAAAGATTCTCTGAAGATGCTCAAATGCCTCGCCAGAAAGCCATGTAAGAGTCTTCCAGGGAATAATACATGCCTCCCCCTCCCCCAGTAAGCTATGTTCTCAGGAAAGAGACCAGCAGAGGCTCCCCCAAAAGGAGGGATCTCAGAGGGGAACTGACAAACGGAAGAGAAATACATGCCCAGGTGCTGATGTCACACTCAGGCACGGTGCACGTGCTGATGTCACACTCGGGCACAGTGCACGTGCGGATGTCACACTCGGGCACAGTGCACGTGCGGATGTCACACTCAGGCACAGTGCACACGCGGATGTCACACTCGGGCACGGTGCACCTGCTGTTAGTGGACACAGGGAGATCGCAGCCCCTGCAGCTCATCCTGCAGGGAGACTGGGTGTTTTCACTGCAGACTTTCTGCTGTGGCAGCTTCTAGGGACAGAGTCCAGCTAGTAAAGGAGGTAGTGCCAGCTCCCTGGGGATACTCTCCCTTAACCCGCCCCCCCTCATGCCACCAACCTAGACACATCCTCCAGTTCTCAACCTGAGTCCACAGAGAGAGCCTGCCCTCCTCTCTCCTGTCCCAGCTCCCTTACCCTTCCAAGTGTGAAAATGCACTTCGGAGTTGTTTGCTGAAGTCCTGGCCTGCGGGCTGTGGGCTCCTGAGAGGCAGGGACAGGGCAATCCTGTCTTGTTCACAGCCACCCAGGGCAGACTAGCTGAGGGTTTCCTGCAAGTCAGGGGGCTCCCGTGCTGAGGAGACCTCCCTGGTTTCCTGGAGGAACTGGATGAGGCAGGGGAAGCTGAGGCTGTCGGGAGCCAGCACTTCCCACCGGCCTCGCTCCTGGATGGCTCCTGCACACCGGCCTTCCCCCCTCTGCTGACCATCTCAAGTGAGAGGCCCCCTAAACAGCCAGTAAAACCCCAAACTGCATATGCGCCATCAGAAAATACTGCCGGGGACTGTGAAAGAGCTGTGGGCAGTCAAAACCAAATCCAGACCCAAACCCAAACCCAAACCATGGTCCCTGTTCTTGGCTCTACTCGTCCTAAATCCTTAAGACACCCTTTGCCTCTATTACAAATTGATTTTTCTTTAACAGATCCTATTTAAAATGTGTGTTCCCTTTGTATTGTAAAGAGAATCCCGAGGGACCATTTTTTTCACACTTAATACAGATCCAAACAGCTGCTTTGTTCCAAAATCACATGGCACGTTTACTATCCCAAAGATCAAAACTGCCACGCATCAGGAAGTTTCTACAGAGCCAAAACCAGCGGACACGGTCACTGTCTCCCCTAAAAGTAAGTGAAGATCCCAGGGACCACGCATCCGCTCCGGGGATGTGCTGGTGCCACACAGGGGAGTTCACCCTCAGCACCTCGTGCCTCCAGCCACTTGACTCGGCTACAGCACGTGGCGGAGCACTGTGCCTGCGGGACCGACTCTCAAAGAGAGAAATCAATACAACGACATTATGCTAAGACTCAACTAAACTACATTTAATAGTTCCTTCATGACCTGTAAGTCCTCTCAGATGGCTACACTATAAGATGCGGCCACTAATATTCATTATCACATTAACATATGATCCCAATATATAAAAGCATCAATCTAGTAATATATTAGCCAATTGGGACACTGGTTTAGAAATAGTGTGCCATAGGAAAAAATACATCGGTGACCCAGCCTGTTACTTAACCTTTGCAATTCTCTCTCTTGTTTTTCATCTTCCTCAACACAGATTCCTGCTGACCCCACAGTCAGTGGGGGTGTCTGGGGAGCGGAAAGAAGGCCAGTGTGAGTGGCAGAGCGCCAGGGCAGGGAGGGAATGCACCAGCTGAGGCTGGGCAGGTAGGCAGGGGATGGAGCATGCCAGGCCTTGTAAGCCTAACCCACACATTTACATTTATTCCCGTACAAAGGGAACTGCCTGGAGGGACTTAGGAAGTGAGTATATGAAGCAATTCGCATTTCGTGAAGGTCACTCTGCCTCACTGATGGATGATGCCCTGTGCCCTGACTGGACCACAGGCCCCTCGACGATGGGGAGAGTGCACTCCTTGCTGCCCTCACCTCACACGCTCACACGGGTTTCACGCCACCAGTTCTCACACTGTTGTGTGCAGCAGCAGCATCCCCAGGAAGCTCTTTCAAACCCAGCTGCTGGACCCCCCACCTGCAGAGTTTCTGATTCAGAAGGTCTGGGTGGGGCCCAAGAATCTGCATTTCTAACAAGGTCCCAGGTGATGCTCAGAAGCCCTTCCTGGTCCAGGCAGGGCACTTATCCAGAGACACAGAACCATGAACAGACTGATGAATTTCAGAGAGAAGGTGGGAGCAGGGTGGGGGTGGGGAACGCGAAGGTGGGGGGAGGGAGATATTAACCGGGGAACTTGTAAGCATATATGCATAGCCCATGGACACAAACAAAAGTGTGGCAAGGCCTGGAAGAGGTGGGTGCAGGGAGTGGGGGGGGGGGGGGTTTAATGGGAAAGAAAAAAAGCAAAAGCAAAGGGGACATCTGTAATACTTCCAACAATAAAGATAAATTTAAAAAGAAAGAAAGGAAACTCCATAAGTTAAAAAAAACAACAGACAAATCTGTTTGCTGAATAAGTAAATCAGTCAATGAAGGGACATGAAAGTGTTTTCTCCAGTAAAACAATAGAAACTATCAGTGGTTTGAGTTCGACCTACGATGGCAATCATTGGTTCTACTTTCCCTTTTTCTTTTCTAAAATGCGTCCTTCGCCAGGTTACAAGGGGACTACGCTGCATGCAGAGGAACTCCGAGAGGAAATAGATGGTGACTACACAGGATGAGGCGCTTCAGACACTGCAGCGCCACGTTTAATTATAAATCAGATGCCACGCAAAGATTTTTTTGTTCGGATGGTAATTTCTGTAGGCAGTAATCGCCTGCCTCAATCCAGAAAGGATGTGAGGTGGGGAGGCATCCCTGGTGCTGTTCCAAACTGAAAACGAAATGCGCTTTGCCTGGAATTCATGGCCAAGCCCACCATGGCCCATCCTGCCGGGGTCAAAGTGCACAGCGTTGGTGAGCACACCCGCTCTAAGAAGAGGTGTCCTGTAACATTGCGACAACTGTGGGTGGTGCAGGTGGGTACTGGGCATATCAGGGGAGCCCTGTAAAGACTATGATTGTCTAACCACTCTTCTGTACACCTGAAACCAATGCAAAATAATATTGAAAGCAAACTGTAATGGAAAAATAAACATGAATAAATAAATAAATAAATAAATAAATAAATAAAAGACATGAAAAAAAAAAAGAAGAGGTTGTTCAAACTCTCCTTCTTGAAGGAACCCTCAAAGGTTCCAGTTTAGATGTTTATGATGACAAAGCAGAGATGCAACTGGTGGATATAAAGTAAACAGAGACTCAGAACCAGCAGAGGAAGAAAATGCTTTAGACCAAGAGACACGCTGCAAGAAGCAGCCGGACTCTGAGAGCTCCTCCTGCCTGCCACAGTGAGGCTGTGGTTGCCACATGCAAATGCCCATCCACCCAGAAATGATGACTGGACTGCGGCCCCAGCTACAATGGGCAGTCCAAACTTAGGGATGGCCGGGGGTTTGCGGGTTCCTTAGGAAGCCCTCTTGCCTGAGGCCTACATGGTCATAGGTTCATATTCTGCTTAGGGAAAAAGCTGGTCAAATATACCCGAGATTGTGGAGGGCTATAATTAAACACCGAGGCATGGTCCTAAACAAAATCTCATCTAGTCAGGAGTTATTCAGGATCTCATGATCTAGGAAGTTGACCCGGGAGAGGGGATTCAAAACATCAAAAGCCAGCGAATCAAAGCAAGAAAGACCACTGAAAACCATAGATGTTAAAGAGCAAATAACAACTAGAAGAGTCATGAAGCAGGAACCAATGAGTGATCCGTACTCTCTGTCCACAAAGCAAGACACCAACAGCACAAGGCCCACATGACAATTTGCCCCATGTGGATGAGGAACTTGGGTTCTTGTTCTAGGCTGGTGGGAATCATGGCACAGTCTACGAATTAAATACAAAAATAGCAATCCCTCCACGGCAGGAAAAACTGAAGTGCGTGCGAGCCCCGAATGCAAGGTCAGAGGCAGATTCTCTCGGAAAGCCCGCTCCCCACGGCATTTGCAGTTACCCACCTCCAAAAGGGTACAAGTAAACACTGGACCTGCTCTGGCGTTACACTGCCACGGCTCCTCCCGCTGGCTCCCTCCTCTTCTTCTTTAAGACAGGTAAAGGTGGATCTCTTGAAGGAACTGGGGGCTCCCACTCTAGGCAAAGGTTGGACAGGTGATCAATGTACAGCATGAGATTTGACTGTGCCTCCGTGCCTCCAACAGAGCTGGATCATCTGGGGCAATGAAAATTATAAGCAACAAGAGAGCGGTATTAACAGCAAGGGTAGGGAAGCCCACGCAGCACACACCACGATGCGCTACGACACCCAGCGACCATGCCTCTCCTAATTCAGTCATTCCAAACACACTCATCAAGCACTGTGCCAGGCTCCGGGGATATAGGAGTGACAGATATAAACACAAGCCTGGTCCTCATAGAGCTCATGGGCCGTTTTGAACAAGGAGACAAGCAATTAAAGGACAAAAGAACTTAGAGGGAGCATAAAGTAAGGGCAGCCAACCCAGACTGCTGGTCAGTGATCATGGAAGGCTTCCTGGAAGAAGTGACATTTGACACGGAACCCAGAGGACCCATTTAGTTAGCCAGACAAGTCTGGGGTGTGTCCAAGAGTCTGAGAACGTGCAAGAATCTGAGATGAGAAAGCGTGGCTGGTGTGAGGGGCTGAAAGCCCTTTGTTCTCAGCCATTCTCCAGCCTGTAACCCTCCACCCAACCAGAGCACCAGGTCTGGGGTCTGCAGCTCTCATCACAGGCTGCTCCTCCAATCCCCACAATCCAGTCGTGTTTCGACCTCTTCAGGTTGGGATCTCAGGAAAGGAAAAAACGTGGAAAATAGTTTGTTCTACAAGAAGATAGAAAAGCAACCACAATGCTGAGTTGAGCACTGCACAATGGACCCAGCCATCTGCTTTCTGCACACCAGCATGGCGGGTGAGTGACCTTCCAACCTCGTTCCGGGCAGTTGGAACAAGACCCTGGACTGCACTTCGGCTTCTTCCCTTCGGCTCTCACTTTGCCCTTCCTTTTCCTCCAAGGAAATCGCAGGGGGAACAAGAAGGAAACCCAGAAAGCTGATGAAGCTAATCTTGCCAGGGGCCTCCATGCAGGAGGACACAGCAAAATAAACAAAAACCTGTGCAAGTCCCAGTAGCCTGAGTGTTGCCCGGGGTTCTAGCTGCCTTTGCATGAAAGAGACCATGGAAGGGGATGGTTTAAGACATGGCGATAAGTACGCGGTCATTTTACCAAAATGCAGTCCAAAGTAGCGTCCCTTTACATTTTTCATATTATCATTTCATTCAAGTCCTGCAAACATGGAGAGAAACAAAACCCTCACTTCTAAAAAGCAGAGCACGCAGCTATTTTTCAGACAAAGAGAGGATGTCTTTTTTAACCGATGACAACACAAATTTGTTTAGGTTTTCCCTCCACTAAGTAAGTAAGCAATTAGGTTTTTTCCAATAAAAATATCCCCGTGCATGTGCAAACACCAGAGGCATCATATAATTACCCTGCCCAATCAGATTCAATTGCTGACAGTTGAGTTCCCACTGCTCATTAACTTCAGATCACAATGAGGTCTTTACGGAAGCCCTTTCCCGTCTCTTTACAAAGGTCCCTGTGATGCTGTGAGCAGTCCCAGCACTACCTCATGTCGGATAATCATCCCAAAATGGCCAGGGCCAAGGCCAGCCTACTCTGACTTCCCTCTGAAAAAATAAAAAGAGAAACTCGAAGAAAGACTGGCTCAAACACCCTGGCTTCATTTGGGGATCCCACTTCTAAATATAATAGTAACCTTTCACCCCCACACTTTAAGTGCCATAATTATATAATTAAAACCAATTATGTCATTTAACAGAGATTTTTTCAAGATCCACAGCAAGCCAATTACCTCACTCATTGACCTCAGAAGATTTCCCTCACTGACCTGCAACAATGAGGATTGGGATAAATTTAGACACCGGCTTCCGAAGTGACAGCCATAGACCAGCTGGGTGGGTTGTAGCTGGTCTAGATTCTTCTGGATTCTAGAAGCTGAACTGAATTCATTGGCATCTAAAACAACTACTTGTGTGCACTTGATTTTCAGAACCACCCTAATAGCATTACTACTTCCATGATGCAAGTTATAAAAAGCAGGCAGGGAGAGAGCTGTGGGGTTATCTCAAACTATGCAACCAGTTAGCGGCAAAGCCAGGCACTAAGGACAAAGTCAGGGCAAGGGCTTGAGTCTTCCACTGCAGAATCCCAAACTTCTTAACAGCAAGAAGTATGTGTGGGGCGGGGGGCGGGGGAGGGGGATATGTGTGTGGGGTGTCTGTGGGGTATGTGTTTATTGTCCTGGGCATCCATTCTTCCTATTTTGATGATCTCACCCCAATTTTTCTTCTTCTTCTTTTTAAAAAAATATATTTCTTTATTCAGAGAGGAAGGGAGAGGGAGAGAGATAGAAACATCAATGATGAGAGAGAATCATTGATTGGCTGCCTCCTGCACATCCCCTACTGGGGATGGAGCCTGCAACCCAGGCATGTGCCCTTGGCTAGAATCGAATCTGGGACCCCTAAGCCCGCAGGCTGACACTCTATTCACTGAACCAAACCCGCTAGGGCCCCAATTTTTCTTTAAGACAACACATCTGCCCCACTTCCAGCACACATGGGTCACAAGAGACTCAGGGGTGTCACCTCAGCCTCAGCCAGTCAGCTCCTAGCATCCCCTTGGCCATTGGTCAGGGATGAGCAACTGACCCAATCAACGCCAATGAGAGACACTGTGACTTTGCTGAGAATCCTGGGAAAGAGTCTCCCTCCTTCTCAGGGGGCTTGGGTGTGAGAGGAGGTAAGGTCGGCTGGTTGAGCAGCCAGAGAGTGAGGGAGAATGGAGCCAAGAGACACAGGGAGAAACTGGTTCCGGGAAACTACCTGAATCCCTTCGCGTGGACAGCAGCAAGCAGCATTTAGGCATAGAGAGCACCACCACCTATAGCTCCATTACAGGGATGGAATTAATTGACCAGGCTCTGGGTCCTGCCTCCTGCTCACCACATAGTCACATGCCTCTTATTTCTGAGTTATTTAAAGAACATACCATTTTATGGGCAAGAGGAAGCACTTTAATCTGCAAAATGATTTTTATCACAAACTAAACATCCTTGTAATGTTTGGGTCCTCTCTTTGGTCAAAGTTGTCTCTCCTTGGAGCTGAGACAGCTGTTGGTGCGGCGAAGGCCTGCATCGGCCTCGCACTTTGCCCTGCTCCATGGTACTCTTCTCCTCTCCAATTCCCGGGTCCATATGGGATGTAAGACACCAGGGCGTGTGTACTCATCAAAATGGAGCACTTTCTTTCTTTATTCCCAGGTCTTGAGGAAAAAGAAGAAAAGAATTCCTCTAACGCAGGATTTGCAACCTTGGCTCTACTGAAGTTGGTCCTTGGAACTGCCTTATAGGATGTGCAGTAGAGTCCTCTGGCCCCTACACACCAGAGGCCAGTAGCACCCCTCTCCCCGAGTTGGGACAACCAGAAATGTCTCCCACATTGGTCAAATGTCTAGGATTCTGGCCCAGATCACCCCTGGTTGAGACGCACTGCTTTAATAGAACGTTTGAGGTCTGTATTGGATTTGCCTCGCAGCATCTTTGAAAATATAAGCCCGTGTAGTTCTGTGGTGCCTTCTACTTAAAGTGTGAGGAGCAAGGGAACCACACCCTCACTAGAACTTTACAGGAGCATGTGGGGTACCCACGGAGGAGCGCTGAAGGAACAGAAGCTTCCACAATGGCAGCACTGCCTTCTATGGGGCCTCTGAAGCCACGTAAGACATAGTGACCCCTTAAGGACCAGGGTGGGTGGGTGGGGGGGGGGGGGGGAATCTGTACCAATAGAAATACTTTTACCTAAAGACCAGGCAGTGGAAAAGGAGGTGGAGGAGAAAGTTAGAAATGAAGAACAGGCATTGATAGGGAGAGAGTTCCAAAGTGGGCATTTGAATTCTCATTTCCACAGGAAAGATAATGAAACCTTAAGACTGTTGCTGGATTCAGGTTCAGCCAAAAAAGTGGAAGAGGCTGGAGTCAAACAGAAACGATCCCTACAGCAAAGACCTAAAACTCACTCCACAGAGAAAAAGCCCAAAATGGTAAAGCTTCACTTATTTGGACAAATGTGGATAAAGACACTTAAAATAAGCAAAATTGAAGGATTTATAGACAATTTCTTCAAGGAAAGGCATTTACTTTCTTTACAGGGATTCCTTCCTTTAAGAAGTTAAGATAGAATTCACTTAATTAGCATATGCATTGGCTAGCCTTCAGGAAGGCCTTTGAATTGGTTTGTCCTCTCCAATGTTATATCCTCTCCCAAGCAGCACCCAGGAACTCCCCAGGGGACTCTGATGAGGCTCTGCTTCAAGGCACAGACTTCTGCACACCCCCCCAGTACTGATTTCTGATCAAGTCTGTCCAAAGAATCAGGTAGGTTTGTGTGTGAAGACTGGTCTTTGTTGGGGCTTCACTGGAAAATGTTTGGGTTCTAGCAATTTCCCTCACCAGAAGTTCCAACACCCTGGAGTTGGAGATGTGAATTAGGGAAGTTAAAATGATCAGAGTTAGGCCAGCACAGCTTCCTCTGTTCCCAGGCAGCTCCCCCTCCAGGCAGCCAGCACCCTGTTCTGGCTGCCCCATCCTCTGGCCCTGCATTCTCCAACCATTCTCACTTCTCTCCTGCAACCAGTATAATCTGGCTGCTAGGGTGTGACTATGTCTGAAATGAAGAAAGAATAAGAACAAAGGAGTCTCTGAGGAGACTTGGCCCTCTTCCCATTGTTATTTCAGGCTTATTAATTTTTGTTTTGGTGAAGAGGTAATGTTTAAAACAAACAATAACAGAAAAATAGAAGTATTCGTCTGGAAGCTCTGTAGAGCTCAACAGGGACTCTTACAAGCTGAATAATGAGCTGTTCTTTGTAGAATTTAGTAAGTAAACCTGGAGGAGCTAGTCCTCAACTCTTGATACATAGAGAATGAGTTTCTCAGGGCATCTTCCTATGGCTAAGCATCCACAGCCCACCCCACTCTACTGGTTATTCACCTCATGATAAAAGAGAAGAGCAGCCCCCTTCCAGTCCAGCTAGCACTAAAGCCACAGGATGGGTTCAGTGTGTTTTGATGGAATTGCCTCCTGACTGAGTCTACTCACTACCCACTTAC